TTGCCCTGGAACTAGAAGTGTTCCTGAGATCACAAGGATCATTATTAGACCAATCAAAGCACGAGACCCGATCACCATTTTAGTTTGAATCTTGTGAGTGTATCTTTGAGTTTTTGGTTAAATAGAAGTTGTTTAGGGGTCTTTTATAGTGGCTTTGGAGGTTTTAAGGGTTTGTGTTGCATGTGAGGTTATCTTCTTTTTTTTTTCTTTTTTTTTTTTGTGGTTAGACTGTAGACTTAATTATTTAGTTTGATCTTTTCCTATTGGGTTCATGTGACAAAAGACTTGAAATTTTCTGTGAGATTCTAATGAGTTTCCTCGTAACTACAACTATATGGCAGCCAATGCATGTAACTTACATATGAGGACATATTATAATGATATGTAAGTAAATGGCAAAATAGTATTAAACCCAAAGATGAACCAAAGTGACAAATTGTGACAAGCTATCTTAATTATCAAAACATAAATTTTCTCCAGAAATCTCTATAGAACCAAGTGAAAGAGATGTTTCAAACTGAAAGACTCTGAATCCAATGGAGCCTCTTGCTCTTGATGCTGCCTTTTCTCATCTAGAGAGTTTGTGTTTATTACGACGGTCAGTACCTGATAACTTGACAGTCTCCTCATCGACATGGCGAAATCTCGGCAGAACAACCAATGTCGGTTTTGGACGTGTGCAGGAGGTGATGATACACATGGTCCAAAGATCCTTTTTTTTACATATTTAGTTTTTTCGTACAAGTTTTTTTTATTATGGTTAAAAAAAATTATTTAGGCGCCGGATCTAACCAATGTTTGAGCCGGGCCTCAGAACAAGTATGACAATCATTAGTATATTTTATTTACTTACCATCTACTTAATTTAATTGACAATCATTGGCGACTTAATTTTATTCTTACATTAAGCCTAAGTGTTAATAAAATTTGATGCCTAATTACATATTTCGGTGTAATGCGAGTATTGAATTTTTAACTCTTTCGTATTGATCTGAATGTATATTTTTTGTACATAAAAAAGAACTCGTTACAGATATTTTGTGAAAATACTTTAAAAGGCATAATAAACTAAACTGTATTCAACAATAAGTTAGAAAATTTTGAAATTCTGGTTTATATAAGATAAAACAATATTTTTTTGCGGATATAACCAGTAAAGGCTATCAAACTGTGAGCTTGCTATCTATGATTATAAGTGGTGGACTAATCACATAAAGAAAAATGGAAAAAAAAAATACAACTGTGATATGATTAGTTGCCATGTCATCACTCGGCGATTTGTTACGGAAAAATTAGTTCATTTACATACTTAAATATTTAAAAAATCACAAAATTGTTGTTTAGACTACAACTTAAATGTTAGATATAAGTTCATCACTACAAATATTTTTTAAAATTGGTTTGATAAAATATCATATTAACAACAAGGTGACTCACTCGCACGCATATGCAAGACGACTATTTTCTTTTATCTTTTTTGGTAAACCAATTTATAAATGAATTTTAACAATAGATTACTAGATATTACTCATTGGACATATGATACACCTAGCCATAATTTCAGAGTACCTTGAATTTTTGTTCCTTGTTTTTATTCCCTATTCCCAACAAAGAAAATAGTGCATGAGATTAAATAAAAGATGTGTGAGACTAAGGCCATGAATGGTTGTGGGTATTAAATTGAAGGTATGTATCGTTAGAGCTATCTTGTGTTTGTTTGTATTTTGCAAAAAAAGAATATTACAAAACTTCTAAATATTTGATATATTAAAATACAAAATTTTTTGTATTAACATGATGCTCGTGATGTTTTGATGTTCATTATGTGGCAGATTACGTTGTGCCATGAGATATGGGACCAGAACTTGAGCTAAAGTTTTTTTACTAAACATTTTACCCACTGCATAATCACATTATTTAACAAGCCTATTTACGTTTATATAATTATCAAAACAAATAAGTTTTCTTTAAAATATGTCAAGAGTACAAATGATTTTTGTTTACAAGAAATCGCAACAAATTGGTAAAACATGTATTATAGTTTGGAGAGGAATAACGTGACAGGAATATGCTTGTGGTGCAGTGGTTAAGGTTTGTGATAAAATGTCCAACGGTTGCAAGTTTGAAATCCTGCAACCGCTGGTTATCATTTTATTTTATTTTACTAGGCCAACTTTTATTTTATTTTAATGGACCAATTTTTTTTCTGCTTTAGCGGCCCACCACATTGGAAGAAGGGCATAACCGTAATTTGGATATTTCTCTCCTCTTTTTGGCTTCATCTCCAATTACACCTGCAGAGTTCACAAATCACACTCGAATAAACTTTCCTGTTTTTATTAATCGAGGATGTAGAATAAAGAGAATATGTGTGTGTCTCATTCATTGACGGCTTTACAACGTTAATATACATTATCGTAAACCCTAAACAACACTTGCTCGACAAGTAAGCCTTATAAAACATAATATGTAGCCCATTACGGCCCAATAGAGGATACACTTTAAAAATTAGAAATAGGAAAAACCTTATTCCCATCACCGACGTGAGAAATCTTTATCCTAACTAGGGGCTATCCCACGCTACGCGTGGGACTTATGTTTTACTTTGTGTACGACCAACTTTAGTTTTTTATATGAGAGTGACATGAATTCACATTAAGGAGCTATCTTCCACAATAAGTTGATTAATTTTATCAATTTCTGAAGCTTTTTCAAATCAAAGAGATAGATAACATTAACTTCTGAATATCCCGATAAAACTTTTTCTTCCTCCTACCTTGTTTAAAGAATACCACGTGGCACTGTTCTGGTGACATGGCATCACATTTTTAGAGTTCTTAATTAGCAACCAAAACCGAAACCAATATACTTGCCGAAGAAAGAATTATGCTGACGTGGAGTCTTGAGAGTGATTTTTAAAAATGCTGATGTGGATACATGGAGAGGTCTCAATGAGCATCTTTTATTAGTAAGAGACTAGAAAAGAGATGCAAGCTAGGTTGCGTTTCTAATCATCTTTAAATAGACAAACTACCTAGATTTAATTCTAACGCCAAACGTCTAGACTTTTGTCAATTACCTCAATTTTGTTTCCCACATCTCCTTGATATTAAACCATACCAACGCTTCCTAGAATAACCATTACAACATATGCAAGCTAAGTGTTGGTGGAGTAAAGAGACATGAAAAGCCTTTGGTGGAGTAAGTCATGGAAGCCTCAGAGTGAAGAATGTATCCATGGTTCATTTCTTTGTCTTTAATGGAGAACATCTCTCGTTCCATCTATATATATAAGTCCTGCACAAACGGAAAACATAGAAATCGAAGGGTTAAGAAGTAGATGCATTTGTTTGCAAGCAAGAAGACGAAGAGACAATACAATTAGGTTACGAAAAGAAGAAGCCGAAAACTTTTTCTTCCTCCTACCTTGTTTAAAGAATACCACGTGGCACTGTTCTGGTGACATGGCATCACATTTTTAGAGTTCTTAATTAGCAACCAAAACCGAAACCAATATACTTGCCGAAGAAAGAATTATGCTGACGTGGAGTCTTGAGAGTGATTTTAAAAATGCTGATGTGGATACATGGAGAGGTCTCAATGAGCATCTTTTATTAGTAAGAGATGTAAAAAAGGTCTCTTCTCCTCTCTCTATATAAAGACGTAATAAGCACAAACTTCTTCACAAACAAATCTCCATCTCTTACACCATAAACCCTAACGACGACTCTCTGTCTCTTTTGATTCACAAACTATGGCGAAAGCTTCAGCAACAATTATCATTCTTTTGATCTTGTTCTGTTCTTTGGCTTGTGAGGCACGTGTTCGTCTCACTAGTCCTGATCTTCCGACTGATGAGATCGTTCACAAAGTCGAGAAACTTCAACAAGAACATAAACGTTTCCCGAAATCTGATCCTCACTTTTACCCAAAAAAAAAAATTATGATCCTCACACCATTAAAGCACATCTCGAGTGCTTGGAAGAATCAGAAAGAGACTTTTTCAAGTTTGAATTTGTATCCTGGCTCAGGATGAACGCTGGCGGCATGCTTAACACATGCATGTCGGTCTTCTTTTGCATCTCCGATCACTCGATAATTTCGAATGACAAAGACATTGTTGAAAAAAGGCCTTGGTGGTGAAATGGTAGACACGCGAGACTTGACTATCAACTACTGATTGGTTGAAATTGTTTACTCCGACAGCATCTAGGGTTCATGCCTCGGGTTGGAACAAATTACTATAATTCGTCGGTTTTGGAGACCCACGTTCTACCGAACTGAAAGCAAATAGATTTTTTTGAATTCGGTTGAAATAATGAGGTCACGGGTTCAAATCCTGTCTCCGCAACATTTTTTTTTTTCAACAACAAGATGTTATTTGTAACAAGTAGTTTTTTCTGAGGTTCCTTTTAGTTTCTTAGTAAAAATGGGTGATTCAAAATACTCGGAATTTCTATCTTTTCTTTTATCTCGGGTGAAATACGATCCGGGGGGGGAGGGGGGGGGCTAATTCTCATGAAACCTTCTTCCCATATTCCACGATGATCCATAACGTCGAAGCTTCTCTCATGAGGATGCAATAACCGTCGTTGTATACTTTGTAATTGTTGTATACTTTGTAACTTTTGTATAATCTGTAATCAAAACTAAAGGGGACTAGGCCGACCCTTAAAAAACAACTGGTCGTGATCTGAAACCGATCACCTGATGAGCTCAAGGTAGAGCGAAACCAGTGGCATGATGAAACTTGATACTTACATTTTTTTTTAAGCATATAATCGATATATTTTCCGACCATCATGATTACTTCTTATTTAATTGCATATTTTGAAGCAGTGCGTGGTTCACCTAAAACAATAACGACCATCAAAACAGACTGTTTTAGTTTATCGGATATCTAAACCATGATCTAGAGTAATAACCAAATATTAAAACCAGCTTATCATTTCATCGCCATAACTTGATTGATTGAACCATGAAAACGAAGATTAGGCCAATGACAAGAAGACATGTAGCATAAGCATGAATTTTCGAATAATAAGTCTGTCAAGTAGTAAAATCAGATTAAAACACCCATCTCAAGGAATCATAACAAAACTTCCAGTGTAAACCAGGTACTCTAAAACTATTTACCTATTGAGATTCCCTCCTTCAAAGTTATAATATGAGAACCAGAGTATAGCATCGTGACTTAAACTCAGAAGACCGGACACAAGCCGAGATAAATTTTACTCTCCTTTCTCCGACCATGGAAATCTGCTGCCTTTGAATCACTTACACTTGCTTGTAGAAGAGGACATAAGCTTGGTCGTGCAACACCTGTTTTGTCCCTATGGCAGTCACAGAGGGATCATCAAACCTTAGCCATTGACCATTCTTTCGTCTAGCGTCTGTGGTGTAGTGCCCTTTTGAGGGATCCCATCCATGGTGGGTAATTGTTGCCACAAGTTCATATCTCAAACTCTACAAGAAGAAATTTGAGTAGTTCACAATAGAGGGATATCACATAGAGAGTATGAGAAATGTGAAGCATAGACAGTTCTGCTTCGACTTTATACCTCATTGGATAGAGAAACAAGATGGTTGCGGTTTAAGTTGAGTTCAAGGGGAAATTTAACGCCTTTATGCAGCTTAGTACTCCCTTGGCTTCCGTAGCTAAAACGCATTAGGTGCAGTATCATTATCTTTGAGAGTTTCTGTATCTTTATCGACTTACTAGCACTCACTACACCAGTCTGAAATGAGAGAATTCAAATAAGTAAAGAGGCCAATTATTATTAAAAATCCATAAGAAATCTTCTAGTACCAATATTGTATAATGAGATTATCCCATGGTCCTAACATCCCACAGCTTCAATATAGTAAAAAGAGAAATAGTTTACCTTCCCAGTAACCGAGGCTCTATATCCTTCAAGATCTTCTTGGGCAGAAAACAAATGCAATGCGTCTTCTATTCCTTTCACGCCGTCCGGATGAATATCAAGGTGTAGCAAGAGATATGGCTGTACAGTAGCCGAAGCTTTAGTCCCTGTACCATAAATGACATATGAGTGCTTAATGAAACAAAAATTCTATCATGAAAGAAATTTAAAATGATTACAAAAAGTACAAATACCTTTTGCCTTCACTACGCTTTTGAGCTGCCCGCCAAATATCTCACTAAGCTCAGACGGGACAAAGCTTTGTGTTCTTGTCACAGCTGATTTGTTTTTGGGTCCAACTGTTTCCCATTCATCATCATCATCGTTGGCAGAAGAAATAACCGATGACTTAGAAGCAGTAACTTTGGGGGACTGTTCCTTGAGTTTCAACAACTCATCATGCATTTGGTCCATTATAAAACTTAAAAACTCCTGAGCATCTTCCTGCCTGCCAATACATGCACACAAAGTTAAAATTAGAAACATATAGATTAACTATTTAAAACAGAAGAAACATCAAAATTTTAGACTGTATAAGGGAGTCACTAACCTTGGCCTACCAGACATGTTGTTGAGTACATCTGGGGTAAAATTTCTAAGCACTCCTTCGAACATGGCAGGTCTAAAAGGTCTACCAGCCTCAACAACAGTAACGTTATTTCTGATGCTGGAACTGCTTGGCACATCCAATTCGGAGATGAACTCGGAAAATGCAGCTAAGGTTGGAGAGTCAGCCTGAGATCAAAGAAAATGGAACAATAACGATAAGAAAACAAATATTATAGGAAATACAATCAAAAGCAGAAAAAGAACAATGCACGTTAGAAACCTTTGGAATATCTTGGAGTTGAATTCTCTGGAGGAGCTGCACAAAAGGGGAACAGGAAAGCAACGCTTGCAGTGTTGCATTGAGGAAGCACAAGTTTCCAGCGTTAATTAATCCTCTTGGTGTAAAGTCTTTAACAGGTGGAACAGATTCAGTAGGAACCTTCTGGTTTTTCTTTCTTTGAATGCTGCCAGATGAAGAGTCACTTGAGAAATCTTCATTGTCCAGCGCTTGAAATTTAGAGCTCGAAGCTTTATACACAGGATCACTTTCACCATCTGACATACACAACTTATCCAAACCAATAGGATCTGTCTTCACCGCCACACCATTGTTGAGAGATTTGCTTTCAGAGATCTCTTTTATGATTCCATTTTCTACCACATGCTCTGGAACTCTTGAAGAGGATTTTCTTGGGAGTTTTGCATCATTATCATCGATCTTATTCGAGCTGTCAGGTCTAGAAGCATCAAGTCTCTCTTGAGACCCCGCAGATTTAACAGTCCCATCAGCCTGACCTTTCTTCAACTCGCCATTAGTATTTACTGAAGAATTTTCCGCAACAAGATTCAAGGAGCCGAATTGTATACTTCCCACACACTTGTCTTTGTGATTCTGAGGATCCTTAGTGGGTTTCTGCTCAAGAAATGACCTAGTTTCATGTTCTGTAAAGGATCCAAACACAAATAGCTGCCATGAATAAAAGAAGAATAGCAAATGTCAGTTTTAAAGGAGAATCATTTACAGAACAATTAAGAAACCAAATGATTAACTATAGTCTCTCGGATATACATAGACCTCAGAGAACAACAATAATATCAACTACAAAATGATCAAAACCAAGCTATAAAAAGATACTATCTCCATGAAACTAAACCACCTAAAACTAGTCTCTTTTTTAATTTAGTGAGCTCCAAATGCAACTCTTCATCGTTATCTAGACCATGAGAATTAAATCTTAAGGGAAGAAACTGAGAGGCTAACAACAAGTAGTAGGAAATTACCTTCTTTTCACTCATATTTGGCACATAGAACGCAACGGAGAAGAGATTGTAGAGCAGCACAACAACAACAAGAGCCCAAAAGACGTAATCTGATTCAGAGAGAGATCCGAAACGAAAGAAGCATGAGAAATTTCAAAAGCGAAATCAAAAACTAGGGTTTGATGCACCAACAACCCTGGATGAGAGTCGTAGACTTGAGAAGACATGAAAGGGGTAGAGAGACGGAGAGAGAAGAAAGAGAGGATTTGTTCTTCTCTGCAAATTCGAAATGGGTAATCATCCGAATTTGGAGGTGCTAAGTAAGAGAGAGATAGAGAGAGACGGACCTTTCGGGGATTTTGAGAAAAAGAATTAGGGTTAGGTTTCTGCTTCTGTCTTTTGTCGGATAGTTTTGAGGAGGAGGACGGAGCTTAGCGCCGTGTTTGGATCTTCTTCGTCTCCTTTTTCGTCAAACGCGTCGTCGTATCTTTACAATAAAAAATCTCGGTTCGATTTTTATTTCACTTTGGTTTAATTCGGTTATTCGACAAAACCATCAAACACTTGTTGTTTACATCAGTTTGGTCTGAACGGTTGACGATTTGGTGTGACTTCTAAAAACTCACGTGCCTATAATGGTTCCATGTCTCGGTTTCGAAGCCTGTCTGAACCTAAATTTTAATTAATCAAAACATTAGAGAGAGACCAAAAAGCCGACGATTAGTCCACCGTGTGACTTCACCGGTCCGTCATCCTCCTCCTCCGATTAGTTACTCTTCTTCTTCTCCCGTTTCCGATTTTTTTATTATTTCTCTTCTGATGTTGCTGATTTACAATTCCTATCAGGAAAATGGCTTTAAGAGACTTTAGCTAATCAAAGGGTATGGCTTTCCCAGATTTTCCGGCAAAAGTCGTCAAATGTGCAAGACTCATTTTCTTAACTGTTGTTGATAAGAGTCTGAAACAACAAGGTTAGTATTGGATTCCTTAATAATATAATATGATAAATTATGTTGATTGGTTTCTTTCTTCGAATCCTGAGCTGTTTTCACATAAAAAATTGATAAGCTTTTGACTTATTATTGAAAATCATGTAGGTCACGACGACGATGAGCTGCTGCTGATGTGAGAGACCTTTGTTTTTATTCGTCTACCAAACATTAAGAAAGAAGAGAGAAAAGTAGAGGAAGGAGAAGGAGACAAAACAATGAGTGTGTCTTTGAGTGTGATGTCATTCAATCTTCACGATGATCAACCTGAAGAAAGCCCTAATTCATGGCTCAAAAGGAAGGATTTGTGTCTCACTGTCATCACCAGTTACTCCCCCATTGTTCTCTGTACCCAACAAGGTATTTAGCCACAATGGATCAATGCTTGTTAGATCTTGTTTCCTTCTTCGTATTGGTGATTCAAGGCTAGTTAGATCTTGCTTCCTTCTTCGTATTGGTGATCTGGGTTCTCCAAGAAGCCTTCTTTTTCCTGAATGCTGGAGATTGGTTCTTGTGCTTTTGCCTTTTGAAGTATTCAACAGAGATGTGATTCTCTTTTTGATCTTTTGTTATCATGTTTACATTGGTTAGGTGTGAAGTCTCAATTGGATTATCTTCAGCAGGGGTTGCCAGGTATAATTGAACTCTCTTTGATTTATGGAAGTCTAATTTCTGCTTAAATGGTGTTTGAGTTAGTTGTAACTGAACTCTGTCAATTTGTCGATTCATATCCTTCTTTGCATCAACTTAAAGTTAGTGTTATTAGCTACAAAAGAAACAGAGTCTGGTGCACTTAATGCATCTGTTATATGGCAATGGTATGCATGATATTCCACATTTTCACGTAATTTCTTTGAAATGATGGTGGCTTTGTTTATCTGGTTTTTGTTATTGCGAACGATGGAGCTAGCTTTTAGTTTCACATGCCTTATTAATACTTCGGTTTGCATTGATTCCTTGAACTTAAATAGATGGTAGTACTCTTTGCTTGCAGCCTATGATCAATTTGGCATATCAAGAAAAGGACCTCAGGATGCTAATGACGAACACTGCACCATCTTCTTCAACAAGGAAAAAGTATCAATTCGGTTGATAAAACAAAACAATAACACCTTCTTAATAATTAATTTCCCTGCTTGACACTATACTTTATGCTAATTGAAGGTAGAGCTGCTAGAGGGTGGAACTTTTTGGCTGTCGGAGTCTCCCTCGGTCCCTGGAAGCACAGCATGGGGTTCCGCAGTTCCTTGTATAGCGACATGGGCCATATCCTGATTACTAGTTCGGTTCATTTTAGCTAAACTATAGTTAGATTAGTTTACGAGTTTGGTGTTTTTGGCCTATATATCAGTATTTTGGTTTTCTTTGACAAGCTGCCTACACATTCCAACTGAAAGGAGCGGAGCCACCGGGATTTTCGTTCCAGATAGTCAACACAAACTTGGATGAAATCAGCCCTCGTGCCCGTAGGCGAAGTGCTTTACTCACATGGCAACACATAGCATCATTACCTCCCACTTTGCCGGTTGTGTACTGTGGAGGATTCAACACACAGAAGGAATCAACAACAGGGCGATTTCTGTTGGGCAGATCTAGGTACCTTAATATCACATTCACAATTTTTCTTTTTACCAATCTTCTAGAGTTTTCTTTCAGGGCTCCTAGGTAATGCAATAATAGCTAAACTACTCTTCACACACTGATCAACTAGTTTCAAATCAAAGCATTTTTACTTATTTGACTGGTGATAAATGGGCGTTTGGGGTTTCATTCAACTTGCAGAGAGCACGGTGTGGTAGGGGACATGAGAGACGCATGGCCAAGTGCCCGAGTAAGAAAAAACGTCGCTCTCGTAAGAACATACCATGATTTCAAAGGTGTGAAACATTTTACCCTCTCATGAGCCATAAAATCATTTATCTCCAAAACTTCTATATATCACAACATCTTGGGCCTTTGTTCAGGTGACAAGCAGGGAACTGTCGAATTCTTGAAGCTGATATTCAGAGCGTTATGCCTCTGTTGGGACCGACAGACACAAGATCTACATACGGATTGGATACTTTACAGAGGTAGATCTATAGTTCCTGTAATGTGCGAGATCGTAAATGATAAGATTGACGACTTATATCCTTCATCTCACTACCCTGTGTTTGCTGAGTTTATGCTTCCTCGTTCTGTAAGAATGCTTGAACCTACTCCTCCTGTTTCTGCTCCTGCTCAAGCGGAAAGCTAGAACACATGTCCTCTCTTGCTTAAGGTTTGGACAATGCTGATTGTTGTTGTGCAAATGAGCTCTGTTTTTTTCTCGGAGCCTTTATTTATTGGTTTGAGGCTTTGAGCTAAAACTTATTCAAAAGATATTTAAAGAAATTGTTTTGTATTGCTCCTATTATTTTGTGTTTTATTTGGTAGGAATTGGGGACAAAGATCCAAGACGAAATGAAGCGATTATGATGACCACCAACAAGATGCTGAAACATTTAGCTTAGTTAGTTAAATTTTAATTTAGGTTAGCATTGTTACGGAACACAAGAACATCTGAAAATACCATCAAATGGTAATATTTTGACTAATTTAACTCGTCATATTCAAGCGTCACACTTACACAACAAGCAAAACAAAACCTTTACTAAAACCTCTGAGAATGTTAAACTTTTATTTGTTTTTCAGTAATGAGAACGTTAAATAAGAACATCCATCAATTTTGAAACAAGTAAATCACTGAGAGCACAAAGATCACCAGCCTTCATCTTAAGAAGAATTGTTCTGTACCCACTCAACGAGTGTCGCAACTCCAAAACCAGTCGCAGCTTTCTTCTTCTCGTTCCACACTGGTCCAGCCATATCTATGTGCATCCACTCAACATTCTCGCTCACAAACTGCAACCATTAACCAAACCCGGTTCTTCGTTAGAGAACAATAGTGTCAGTATTGAAGTGTGTTTTTTTTGTTTCCACTCTTATGATATCCTCACCTGTTTCAAGAAGAGAGCCGCGGTGATGGAATCACCTGCATGGCCTCCCAAGTTAACCATATCTGCCACACTTGACTTCATCATCTCCCAGTACCTCTCTTCCATAGGCATTCTCCATAACTTCTCGCCACTCCTCTCTGATGCAGCAGTTACCTCCTTTGCAAGCTCATCACTAGCTGTATACATGCCTGCAGAAATCAAAAATCCAAACCAATATACAATCATCACGAAAGAATGTTATTCTGTCTGTTTTAAACATAAGACTATGTACCTGCCATTGATGGTCCAAGAGCAACAATAATAGCCCCAGTCAATGTTGCAAGGTCAACAATCTGCAAATATATATAATTCACAAGTTGAGAGAAAAACAAACAGAAAAAATGTATTGATAAGGGGAAGAATCTTTTAAACAATACCTTATCGACACCCTGGTTGCAAGCATAAACTAGAGCATCTGCAAGTGTTAGTCGACCTTCAGCATCGGTGTTGTTGACCTGCAATACCGCCAACAATTATATTGGCGTAAAAATAACAATGGAAAGCTCAAATCTTTTGAAGCTGAAATCATATGGAAACAGTTACGATACCTCAATTGTCTTTCCGTTTGAGGCTGTGATGACATCTCCAGGTCTCATTCCGGTACCACTTATCATATTCTCACAAGCTGCAACAATAAAGTGCACCTGATTGTGCAAAGAAGCATTTGTTCAGGTACATTCACTTAACTCAGAAACTCAAGCTCCGTGTGATAAACTTACCTCAACACCGGGAGGCTTAATTTGACCAATGGCTTTTGCAACGCCAAGAACAGCAGCTGAACCTCCCACATCGATTTTCATGAGCTCGATTATCATGTCAGGCCCAATCTTAATGTTGTAGCCACCACTGTGAACAAAAACCAATAACCAATAAGTATAAGAAGAAAGAGATTGATGCGGCTAACAGAAGACAACAGCTCTTGCGAGTACCTGTCAAATGTCAATCCTTTCCCAACAAGAGCAAGTTTGGTTTTAACAGGGCCACTAGAAGGTTTGTAGATAAGGTGGATGAAATGAGGTGGATTAGCTGAAGCAGCAGCTACAGCAAGATATGAACCCATCTTCAGCTCTTTGCATTGTTCCTCGTTCAAGATGTTTGCAGTCATGACATCACTGTACATGGAAGCCAGATTTGAGGCTTCCTCAGCTAGTACGGCTGTAAGATACAAAGCAGATTAGAGACAAATGTTTGAAATAAACTTCAACATACAAGATGCTCACAGTATAAAAAACATGAAAATTCTAGACTATGATGCTCACATTTATAAAAAACATGAAAATTCTAGACTATGATGCTCACATTTATAAAAAACATGAAAATTCTAGACTATGATGCTCAAGAAACAATCCATACCAGGGGTGAGAACATTGGCTGGAGAATTAACAAGTTCTTTCCCGAAAATTACGCCATAAGAAACATGTTCAGCATACTTAAGCTTCTCCTCTAGTTCAGGTCCAGTGCCAAAGCCAATGATATCCACAGATTTGAGAGATGGTTTCTTTGACTCAGACTTATACCGGCTGTCTTCAAACAAACCAAGCACTGTGCCTGTCAAAAAGTAAACAACGATTCCACACAAAGATCAGTTCCAAAATGGTAATGAAACAAGCCCTTCTCAAGT